GGACTAGATGGGACTACCTGTTGTTTCCTTACCTAAACTTTGCAGTTATATTCCAGAATCACTCTAGGAGCGCCCTCATAAAAAAGCTACAGTAGATTTTAGTTGGGGAAAAAGTATACCAAAAAATTTGCACTGACCAGTCGGCAACTTCATAACAAACATTTTGATGCATAATATGTGGGATTTCAATTTGGTATCTATCAGCAATAAGACTCTGAATATCCGGCTCAAGAAACCTCTTGCTCCGCGTCAGTTTCCGAGTTCTGGGATACCCCATCTTCGGGGCTGATTACAGTTATTTTTGGTCACTCGGATTAGTTTTTTTGGCCTAATTATAATAATTTGATCAATTTCAAATCGATCTATATAAAAAATAATCCGAAACTCCGGAATCGCCCGTGGCCTCTCGTGAGGGCGTGTCCGACCAGTGTGCGCTGGGTCGATTGCGCTGGAATTTGGCAAATCGTCAGAGACAGGAAAATACATCGGTTGCCGTGCACAAGTCAGTTCGAAGTACCCCCTCGCAATCCCGGACGTGCAAGGCTCACCCTCTCGCTCGCTCGTTTGTCGCCCCAAAAGCCGTTTTTACTAAAGAAAGACAAAAAAATAATGGATTTTTTTTTTTTTTGCTTTCCTTAGGTATGAGCAAAATGCTGTTATTCTATCTTATTACAATCATATTGCATTTTTTCATTTAGCCGGAAACGTGGTGGCCGGACTTCTCCCGCGCCCGGGGTTACCCCGGCTTCCCCTACATACGGCAAATATTTTATTACTCGGAGCGAGCGAAGCGAGCGGAGTCTTACGTAGAATAACGGAAATTTCTGAGTATGAGCGGCCGGCCGTGCGGACGCTTTTGCGAGGCTTATATCTCAGCAACCACTTGACCGATTTACACGCGGTAATTTTTGTAGGGTAGCTTCATTCCTTCTAATTGGACTATTCTCAATGCATGTGGATGACCCCTTATGCACGTGCCACGTGCAAAACGAAGAGGTGTCAGTTTTGCAATTGTTGCAATATTTCGGTAACTACTTGGCCGATTACGCTGAAAGTTGGCATGTAGGTAGGCACCCACTAGGCACTGTATTTCCATGTGCCAGAGTTGGGGTGCTGCTGCACGTGCGCACGTGCAGGGGTCGTTTCCAGATCTCGAGATCGGCTGGACCGATGGCGCTCAAATTTGGTACACGGTTAGGGACCAGTTAGCAGGGTGCCGTGCACAAGTCAGTTGGGACCCATTTTGCACGTGCGCACGTGCAGGGTGCCGCTTCCAGATCTCGAGAACGGCTGGGCCGATTGTGCTCAAATTTGGCACATCGCTAGAGATCGGTTAGTAGGGTGCCGTGCACAAGTCAGTTGGAGGTACCCCCTCGAAATTTCGCACGTGCAAGGCCCACCCTCTCGCTCGCTCCGTTAGTCGCCCCATAAAGCGTTATACTGGTGAATTTATTTCAGTGTTTTAAACGATGATACTCTCTGATAATATGACAAATGAGACATATAAGCAATTAGTGCAACCCTAGCTGATAGCTTCTAAGAGATACACTGAACCTAATTTGACCAAATCTGTACCTACCTAATCTGCACCAAATGTGCACCAAATGTGTACCAGATGGCCGTCGTGAAAACGACTCAGAATAGACTGCGCTATCAAACTGTTATTTCGGATGTTCACATTTTTGAAAATTTTGAAAATTAATCATATTAAAATTCAAAATTTGTATTTTTTATCTTTTTTTTCAAAAAGTTTTTGACTTTTCGAAAAAAGCGGAATATATATGATGAACAAGGCAATCAGGCAACCTTGACCTAGTTATATGTACCTAGGACTGAAATGAAGAAAGCGTCCTTCTCTTACAGTGGTGCAAAACTATGGAATAGCATGCCCATTCATGTCCGAAACTATTCGAAAGCTGATTTTGTTAAATATATTTTGGAAAATCACGCGGTAAAATGATGCATATGTGTGTGGTGTTGTTCCGGTGATGTCACATTGTTCGTTGCAATAATTGCCGGTTACTTATGAGGCTTCGCTGTCTCATCAAACTTTTTGTTATAGAAAATCGCTTTTGTTCTGCATTTTGATTTCGTTATACGTGCTTATGAATGACAGGGCACTGCGCTGCCTGTATTGTATGTACCTATATGGTTTATGTGTGTCAATGTGTTTCCCTCTGTAATGCCCACCGAATGGTGGTTAGTGGGAATATGAAATAATAATAAAATAATAAATAATGATAGAACACATGCTTATGACTTACTCCAGCAAGTTTTAGCCAGATATCTTCAAAAATGGCCAAGTTACGCATGATAGCAAAAATTTCACAATTTTTATTTTTTTTCAAGTTAATTTTGCAGTACGAATTTGACATCGTATACCAACATAAATAACACCATCGTGTTCCTGAGCTCAAACTGCATCCGATAGACATTTTTTTTTAAATGTCAACTTTAAAATTTGACATTGTTTACCCGGAAGTGGCCTGACCTATGCTAAATTCAACTCAAAATGACCTTGAATGACATAAACGACATCGAATTCGAAATCTATGGCCTAAATGGACCATAAAACATGTGTCACGTGACCGACTCATGATATAAGATTTCCGTGACCTGTGATGACCTGACCTTGACCTGAAAATCAAAGTACAAGTTTGGTACCCTCAGGATATCTAAAGCATCTGTTCGCGAGTGTGTAAACCAAAAATCAGCCTGATCTGATCTGTAAGACGGCAGCCAGAGCCCAAAATGTGGACAAGCCAAGCATCGATAATTTATACTTTGAGCTGACCTGTGACGTCATCGATGACCTCGATGTCAATTATAGTTACACAGACCCCAGTGGGGCGCGGGCTAAGGTATTAGGTCAACCGGTGACCTCTGAGATCAGGTCAAGTGACCCAAAGCACGGGCTCAGTTTTTCGTAAATAACTTTGCAAAAAAAAAAACGGTCGCACAGCCGCGATTTTGGCATCATCGTATTTGCCTCGCTCAGGCGCTTTGAATTGTATACTTTTTGTTTGAGTGAGGTCAACTTGAAGTGTTGACCTCGGGTCAAGGTCACGTCAGCGCCCCCCCCCCCCCCCAGATCATAAAGCTGGTCGAAGGAGGTCATGTCGCATATCATTCGATATGATAGGTCTTCCCGAGTCCATTGGTGGCTTTCTAGACTCGCTAGCTCAATTTGATCGGGAGTTATTGACGAAAAACTTGTATGACCCAAGTGACGTCATAAATGAAGGTCACGCAAGGTCATCAATGCAACAGTGAAGCATCGGACCTTGCAAGACGTGGAAGAAATCACGATTCCGTGTGCTTGAGATAGTTTGAGATCGTTCCCAGCGCTAAAATAGTAGTTTAATTTTTCCCCCAATGACTTATAACCCGGCCGGGCCCGGGGGGTAATCCCAACCACCGCAGCCCGGGGGGGGGCGTTTTTCGCCCCCCCCCCCTGTCTAACTCCGTAAATAAGGGAGCTACGGAAACAAAAGCGATATCAAACGAAAGGTCCTTACGAGACGATTCTAAAGCACCTAATATTTTTGACCTCAGGTCAATTTTCAAGTTCAGAGGTCAAGGTCAAAGGCAAAAACCGGCACATGTGTAGTGATCTTAAAGTAAGCCTTCTAGAGGACGGCAGAATGCATCAAACCGGCAAAATTGGGTGTCAAACGAAAGAAAAGAATCTGAGGATTCCGAAAATGTGCTCCAAAGCAAAGGTCAAGGTCAAGGTCACGCTCAAAATTGACCTCAAACTTGGCACTTTTTTGCACATCTTGCCTGCTAACTTTCAAGATGTTTTGAAATGTTTTTGAGGCTTATCAGTTCCCTATTTGTGGTTCATCTTGCGATTCAAGGCTGCTCAAAGGTCAAGGTCACAGAAGAGTACCCCTTCTAGAGGCTATTTCACTGATTCAAGTTAGTAATAGGTAATAAATAAGACAATTTTGCCATCCGGAAGCTCTAAATGAGGGCTTAGAGGAAAATTGATACCAGATTCGTGATCAGCGGGTACAAATCCATCATAAACGACCTTTCATGTGTCAAGGTCAACCAGAGGTCATTCGAGGTCACATGAGGTCAACACAAAACTTGACCTTTTCCGAACAAAATATATATCATTCGACGCGACTTGACAAGGCGAATGCGATGGTACCACTGCCGTAGCTCTAGGACCATTTTTGTCAAAGTTATTTGCGAAAAACTAAAACCACATTTCGGGGTCGTTGACCTGACCTCTGACCTCAGGTCACCAAAACTATCTTTCTATTTTTCTATAGGTCAAACGCTACACAAATGTCCTCGTAATTTGTCTTTATCTCTAAAACTCTATTTTTATCAGCTATTTGAAGTTTGCGTCTGTGACGCCGAAGTTTGCCGTGCAGGGGTCTAGAAAAATGGACCTTGTGACGTCATCAAGGGGGGTAGGTCCAAATTTTTTACTTCAGAAGATGTCAATTTGATGGGAGAAAAGGTACTGAAAGTTTCGCTTTCCTAGCCCTAAGCATTCGGGAGCTATCGCAAATATTCGCCAGGGGGGGGGGCGAAAAACGCCCCCAGGGCCCGCGAGGGATAATGATGAGGTCACGTGACCGACCTGACCTCATGTGGCCTTTGGGGAAAATCTGAGATACACAAGTTGTGAGATCTCTGGAAGATACTACATCCTGTAAGCTTCATCTCCCTGCCCTGTGGATGAAGCTTAGATGTAGCTTAGCTGCAACATCTGAGGACCGTGCAGAGGTTCACTTATGACGTCATAGGTCAGTGACCTGACCTGACCTAAAAATGCAGTTTGTGTCGCAAGATACGGCTTGGATCAAAAGATAGGTATGCCATGTTTCAGCTGTCTATCGTCGGCGTGTTTGGAGCTATCGCGAAAAAAAATGGGGGTGGCACCCGTCTGACCCCTTCTCCCTCGGTCGGCGAGGGTTGATTCAGAGTCCTTGATCTGAGTCAGGTGCCGGCCAATGAAAGCTTACCCACGAAAGACGGAGTAGCGTTTGTATTTATTTGATCACCTTGTAATGCACGGAAACATAATCACTCAGAATAACCGCTTGATTGTAACCGTGGCAGCCAGGAGTTGTGTGTGTCCACATACGCATCGACGAGAATCATCATAAATCACATCTTAAATCGATGTAAAACACATAATGCATATGGATACGAGTCATGTCCCAGTTAAATGGTCCCATGAGTTTTCGCTGGCGCCGTTGTGATTGTAAAAAATAAAGGTTTCACATCCGACATTGCACATTCCAAGTTAATTATTAACTTGGCAGTAAATGACCGCACTTGTCCCGACTCCACAACCGCCGCACCATAAAAAGTCGTGTTTAACGCTTGTGCTTACAAGTATCCGGTATAATGGCACAGTCGCTAATTATGCGTATAAGGGAAAATGCGCAGAAAACAGCACGTCATCGTGCAAGACTTATTAAAATAACATACCTACTCTCATCGTCATCGGAAGTCAAATAACAACGGCAAGGGGCGGGCAGAACCAGGCATACGGACTAGGGAAGATATGGAGCAGACGATATGGCTAATTCACACTTAGCATACTTCAAACACACTTACAATGCACAGCATCCTCGGACGTCGCTAAAATAAACTTACAATGCACATCATCCTCGCTAAAATACACACATATGCCCTATTGGTCCCGAGTCACGCTCAAGCAGGCGCAGGATCCCTCCAAGCCATGCTAACTGACCATGTTCTCAGCAATATATGAGGTCGGGACTGTCTTCCTGACCGGTCGGCTCCGGCTGTCGGGTCAGAGACGCGGCGGGAGTGGCTGCGGCCCCTGTCCCCGCCGCGGCTCCGGCCAGGGCCACTGGAGACGCGACGGTCGGCCGGGCTGCGCCAGCTCCGCCCAGTCGCCGGATCAGTCGCTCCAACTCCGGGTGTACCTGCAGCCCGTCCACCGCCGGTGGGTTCTGGAGCGGAGGCGCCACGAAACTCTGCGCGCGCTCGTCGTCGCTATCGGCGTGCACGAAGGTCTCGCGCGCGCGCTGAACGGCCGGCCGCCATCTGCCGGCGCCCTGAGGGAGGCTTGTCTGCTCGGCCGGTCGATAGATTGCACGGTATTCGGGGTTCAGCGGTGGCAGACTGCCCAGACGCGCTGCATGATTGCGCAGCGGCGGCGGCACCTCCTTGAGAGACACGGTGCGGTCAGGGGATGGCCGCGTGTCAGGTGGAGGGCGGCGGCGTAGTGGCACTGGCGAACCCCCATCGCTGGATGTCTCATCGCTGCCAGAAGTCGAGCTTCGCTGACGCGCCGGCGGCGGCTGCGCTCGTCCGTAAGGCACCGCCACCTGTTCATCGTCGCTGCTACTGTCGTGATCGAGTTCCGACCCCGGCGCTCTCGAGTCGTCGCTGCCGCTGTCGCTCATATCAGGCAGACTTTGTGCCCTCTTCGTCCCCAGTCCGTCATGACTTCTGCCACTGTCTAATCCCGATCGCTGCTGAGGCGGGGGTGAATCCCGTTCGCTGCGGCTTCCGTCGTCTCCAGTGCTGCTGGAGAGGCTGGGCAAGCTGGAGCTCCGTTCCAGTGCCAATCGCGGTCCATCACTGACTCCGAGCGCTGAGAGCAGCCCCGGCGGTGTTGGGGTACGAGCCAGCCAGCGCGCCTCGGCCGGGACGTGCGGCAGCCGCATCTGACGTCGCACCACCGGCCGCACGTCCTGTTGATCCTCAGGGCTCGGGCTGGGGGGACCGTCAGCCAGCGCAGCCGCCACTGAAACGGGCCTCGTGGGCCGGGAATCAACTTCAGAATCACTCGAGGTATCCAGACCTCTCTCCGAGGCGCTTATAGAGAACTTGGCGCTTGACTCTCCCTGGTCATGTAACTCGGCCTGCGAACTCCGTGAATTTGAGCCCTCCGAAGTGTCTGAGTGACTCAAGCCCCGTTGCACCTCTTCTTCCTCAAGATAGGAGCTTTCCTCTCCGGAGCGGTAACCGGCTTCATCACCAGTCGCAGTGTACGACGAACGTCTGCCGAGGTCCGATCTAGGTGCCACGTCGTCCGCCTCGTTTTCCTCGGATGACGTGCCTTCATCCGTCCCGTGGCTGCTAGGAGAGTTATCACCTACTCGACTGTCCATTATACCATCGTCTTCGATGTCTTCGGATGATACACTGCCAGTGCTTGAAGTGGTGTCTGATTTTGTAAGGCCCTTTCCAATCGCAGGTAGATCGGGAAGCTTTGCTTCTGATTTACGACCACCACTAAGTGTCGGGGAATGATGTTCCTCGGGGAAGCGACTATCACGTACTTGCCCTTCCAGATCTAGTAGTATAGCATCTCTGTCTGTGGGAACACTGACGGCATGGATCGCATTGTCCGATGACTTACGCGGTTGGCCATAAAGCAAGCTGGGCACCGGAGCTGAACGCCGCTGCTCATCGTCGTCTTCGGTGCTGGAGCTGGCAGAGCTAGTGTACCTTTCTAAGTGTGGTTTAGTCCGTTTCACCTGGCGGTTGTGGGAATCGCCGGTTAGTTTAGGAGATAAGTTTAGGTCTGAAGTTAAGGCTGCTTTGATTTTTGGCGAAGTCTGTCCTCGGGCAGCAGCATGGTTTGCACCCATTGGATCACTGTGAATGCGAGGAACCTCATCAGAACTTTCTGAGCTGCGTCCGCTGATATATTGCTCTTCTTTCGTCGTAATTGCTGGGACCTGCTTTACTTTGGGCTGTCCTCGTCGGCGATCTGACCTCATGGCTGGCGCAGAATCAGACTCATCGTCGTACGAAATGTCGGACATCGACAGTGACCGTTTTCCTCGAGGGACGGGCGCTAGGTCACCCAGTCCCAGGTCGGGCAGCCTCTGGATGGTCGATGCGCCGGGGTTCGGGGCCGGCAGTGAGGCCCTAGCCCGGTCACTGCTACTGCCAGATGAGGAGGGCCGTTTGCTGCCACAGTTCGACGTAATCGAGGCGGCGTCAATGTCAGCTTCCGAGTACCTCAGGTGCTCAGCATCGTTGTCAGACTCAGAGGATGTTGAGTCTGTGGATGCGTATTCCATGTCACCGACACGACTTTTGTGACGTTTTTCAACAGCGTCTTTGGTGTGATTTATCGGAGATATGCTGTCTGCGGCTTCCCGCGGGTTGCCGCCATCGTCATGGGATTCTCCACTAAGAAAGAGATCAGCAGGCGCAGTGCTGGTTCTAGGAGGGGCAGCGGATGTAGGGTACATTTCTTCGCAGAGTCGTCGTGGATTGATCAGGATCTCCACCTGGCCTCGACCGCTGGGTGTGGGCGGTGGTGTGCGCGCGCGTTCGGCTGTGGCGGTGCGTCGCGTTGGCGGGGGCGTGCGAGTGAGGTCTGCCGCGGTGGCTTTACGGGACGTGACCGGGCTGCCGGAACGCTCCGCCGGAACAGCACGCGCGTCTGGCTTTGTAGCATGTCTGGGTGGCGAAACGCGTCGTCGCCGTCTGCTGCTGGACCGACGCGAATCTCCCGAGGAGGCGGACCTCCAGCTGTCAGAGGCGAGTCGGCTGCGCCGGCCACTTGAAGCGCCGCCAATCGAGCTCCTCCATCCGTCGTCACTCCTCACGCTCCGGAAGCTGGCTTTGCTGGTGTATGACTGGACACTCTTGAAGCTGTCCCTGGCGCCTCCCGGATGGCGAGGACCGCGTGAGGCACGCCTTCCGTCCGGCTGATCTCCCCGAGGGCCGGTACTCGGCTCACCGCTGCTGATACTGTACGCAACCAGCGACGGCTGGCGGCTGCTTCGGTAGCTCTCAGAGAAGCTTTTGAAGCTCGCTTTGCGCTCATCGTCATCTCTGACGCTGCGGAAGCTCTGGCGACGCAAGTCCTCCTCACGTGCGCTGTGAAAGCTCTCCTTGTGGCGTGAGCGCGCGCTGGCGTAGCTGTGTCCGCCGATGCTGCGGTGCGTTCGCCGTCGCCAGCCGATGCCGAACTCTGCCAGTTCGTCCTGAAAGCCGGCGTTGTCGAGACCTTCCTCCAGACTCCGGACACAGTCGTCCTCGGGCACTACGACCAGGTCGACGATGCCTCGTCCCAAGTGCGACTTGCGGTAGCCGTATAGCGTGTAAATCAGCAAACCTGTCGACATCCAGCACACGAGGGGTTTTAGCATGTCACTTGCGAAACGGAGCGGCATGCCGTGCTGTCCCAAGCGAGAAAAGTGGTTTGCAAATCTACTTGGTACATTCCAGATTCATTCACAAAGTAGGACATAATTCACTAGACAATCGAGCAGACTTTGATGCCCTGAAAACGCAGCCGTGTCTTAAACATTTGTGAGATTGTTGGATAAGGGTTTTGGTATATTTTCTTTGTGAACTTAGCAGGAAAGAAATACATATCAAGACTTCAAAACACATCTCACCGATGAAAGTCCAGATGAACAGGCGGTACCAAGCAAAGTCGTCCAGCTGGTACATCAGAAAGCTGGAGAAACCCATGACGACGCTGGTGCCAACCTGTACCACCACAACCTGCGGTAGCGACAGAAGGGTCGCGTCACGAAGCGTGGCGGCATCGTTACTAGCTGCCAGCAGACCACACTTCCCGCTGAGCATCAAAATGCCGAATAAGTCATAGATGGGCTGGCGGTTTATATACCGCCGTAATGTGTGGTGTTCATTAGGACTCCATTTCGGTTAGAGAAAAGGCAACGTTTGAACGCCGAAACTGTGTCGACCGCAAGGGAGAGACGAGCCTGAACACCTTGGTCAAGGTCAGCGAACGCAGACCTTGTAGTCCTATTTATATCTTCCCGTGTCACTTGACCTATCGTATTGGGCAGGGTCGTTCGCGTATCATAGAGACTGACCTTGACCCCCAGGTGCTTCCAATTGATGGCCAGCTGCAGAAAGAGCATCACCAGGCCGGAGAGCAGGCCCTGCACAGCCGACTGGGCCACCTTCTCACCCAGGTGTCTGGTCACCATCACCAGCGCCGGAGAGACGAAAACTGTCGCACCGGGGGTGGTCTCAAAACTGAGCGGCACCGGCCACCGCGTGCACAAAACAGGAGAATCTATCAAGTGAGCATCACTGCATAGCGTACTTCCCAGTTCCCTCGTAAAATCACACCTCGCCGGACGAAAGGGGCTGATGCAACCCCCAAAAGGTTTTCAAGGATAGCAATGGCGATTGCTTAACCCGCGTATGACTGGGGTATTTTCCATAACGCAAGTGACTGGAGGGCTCTTCAGAGCCGCCCCCCCCCCCCTTCTATCTCCGAAACTACCGGACCGATCGTCATGATTCAAACGGCGTCTGCTAGCCCTGAAAAAAGTTGTCGAGCGAAACCTATTTTCATTGACCTCGAAGTCACCGATGACGTCACAGGTCAGGTCAAAGTAAAAATTATCAGCATTTTTGTTTGTTCACGATTTAGGCTCTGACCGCCGGCTGACAACTCCGATAAGGCTCATTTTTGGTTACGAACTCCTTGATATATGCATTAGATACCCTGAGGGTAACGAACTTTTACTTCGATTTTTTCAGGTCGAGGCCAGGTCATCCTAGGTCACGAAAATTGTAGGTATATCATGTATCGGTCACGTGACGCATGTTTAATGGTCCATTTTACTCGTAGATTTCAAAAACAATGTCGTCTGTATCATTTGAGGTCATTTTCACCTGAATTTACCGGAGGTCAGGTCACCTATCATACCTAGCAGATGCAGTTTGAGCTCAGGAACACGATGGTGCCATTATTTTGCTGTAAGATGTCAAAAACGTATTGAATTTTGAAAAATATGCTTATAATTATAGAATTTTGACAATATTGCAAATAACTTGGTCTTTTTTGAAGATATTGGGCTACATCTTGCTATTGTGAAGAAAAATGATTTTTTTCCGAAAATGTTAATTGTAAATACATATTTATCAAAATTGCCAAATTTCGAAAATTCGAGATAGGAATTTGATAACTACGTGTATTTGTAGTCCATTCATGCAAAGAAATTGGATCTAGCTTTAAAACGGAGCTGTTTAGAGCGTTTACCGTTATTCAATACTTTGCATCAAAATCGGCCGACTTGACGTCATTCTGACGTCATTTCCGGCCAAAGTATGGTAGCAAAAAATTGAAATTTGAGCACAAGGTGTCAAATTAATGCTGCTGAGGGTATTGCAAGTTTCGTGTTGATCCATCAAACGGTTTAGAAGATATTGCTGAAAAATGGGAGGGGGCTCTGTAGAGCCCTCCCCCCCCCCCCAGTCATGCGCGGGTTAATGTTTACGCCCACCCTACGGAAGCAATAATGAATAATGAATCCTATTGCACCCACTCCACGCTCCACAGTCCACACTTACACCCCACGCTTACAGCAAGCATAGTATACTCACAGTAAAGTAGCCATGTAAATTTCAACACTATCAGAAGTGCCGTTTCTTTGCTTTCATGTGATCTGTAATGCAGCACAAAATAAACGTTTGAAAAGGAAAGTCAAAGCAACACGTTTGTTAATACTTACCGTTAGACCATGCTCAGCTCTTCCGACAAAGTTACTTGTTAAACCGCTAGCTGCGTAAAATATTGTGCCAACGCCAAAGTATTTGTCACAAATGATACAAAAGGTAAACGATCACAGCATATAAATATTACAATCACTAGCGCTAAGATTTTAATGGTGACACTTGGTAATTGAAATGAGAGGTTTTTGACGCTGCAACTTAACTGCAGAATGAATAGTGTATGGGACGCGAAAAGAAAAGAACAAAAACCACTTGAAACCTGACCAAGTTAAAATATGTATTTAGCGCGCAAACGTTTACTAACCAGTAACGTAAACGTTTACTGGTTGAGCTAACCAGTAAATGGTCAATTTCGTGAATCTGGAAAATACATATGACAGGTAGGTACTGGTTCCAATAGGATGTATACAAGTTAATTATAGTTAATTAATATGACCCACAAGAACATGAAATCGATACCAAAAGCCATTAATTAGTTATGTTACGCCTAAGCAGTTGATTAGCAGTGCAACTAACCTGGAGACCATGACAGCGATCAGGAGTGCCTGGAACACCAGGAATGTGCCCGAGGAGAGGCTCAGGATGAGCCCCTCGTAGTCCTGCAGCGCCGCCCCGATAGCTGCCAGCAGGGTTAGACGGTCTCAGCGGTGGACCGCAAGAACATAAAACACCAACGGATACACTCAGAGCACGTTTTTATACACCAGCAGAGCGCACCATCATAGAGCACAATACGGCAGTGCTGGCTGCCAGAACACGCCAATGGAACACAAGGGCAAAGGTTTCTTCGGAGAAAGCCTTGCACTGCTAGACGGTCCCTCGAGCCGAGTGCTGCACGGTCAATTTCATTCATTCGATCATTCATTCATTCATTCATTCATTCATTCATTCATTCATTCATTCATTCATTCATTCATTCATTCATTCATTCATTCATTCATTCATTCATTCATCCATCGATTCGTTCGTTCGTTGTTCATTCATTCATTCATTCATTCATTCATTCATCCATTCATTCATTCATTCATTCATTCATTCATTCATTCATTCACTAGGGCATTATTTATTTCAATCATTTATTCATTAATTATTTATTTATGCATTCATTCATTCATTCATTCATTCATTCATTCATTCATTCATTCATTGTCGCTGAGTGAGCTGCCCTTTTCAATACTACTCCATTAACCCGCGCCCTGCTGGGGGTCCTGGATTTCCACGCCCTGCTGGGGGGGGTGTTTGAACACCCCCCCCCCCCTTGTAACTCGGCTCCTGGGCCATGTAGCGATACGCGGAAGGCGGCGTTCGAAAGAGCGTAAAAAATAATGACGAAATTACTTCGGTCAATTTTTTGGTCAGGTCAAAGGTCAAGTCACCAGAGGTCATTGAAGGCAAAATTTCGCCGATTTCCAGGTCGAATGTCAAAAATTTCCAAGAAGCCAACGCATAACTCGGGAACCAATAGAGCTACAGCGCCGCGGAAAAGCGCATTCGATAGCCCTATTAAAGCCCTTTCTGAGTAATTCTCTCAGATTTGACCTAACGTCAACGGTTTTGCCTGCAGGGGGCAAAAACTGCAAAAATAGCCGATTTTTTCGAAAACAGTTTTTCTGCAATAACTTTTGACCCAAGCCTTGTACGAGCTTACTTTTACCGACATCGTGTTCCTCTCGTCAAGACGCATCGAATGAACTATAACTTGACCTTGAAAGGTCAACCTGAAAATTTGACCTCAGGTCAAGGTCATGACCTGACCGGAAAGGGTCATGTTGCATATCAGTCGATCCGTATCGTCGAGCTGAACACATCTAAGGCGTTTTCATCGCTCTAGCATGCCTCTATCAAAAGTTATTTGCGAAAAACTGTTAGATACCATTTGTGACCTAAGATGACCTCAGGGCATAAACAAGGGTCACGGACACCATTTTAAAGTTCAGTGTGTCTAAACCACTTGTAATTCGGTGTTTGGGAGTGTTTATAATGTCTTTCATCCAAAAGAGGCGCATTTCATTTTTCTTCCATTGACTTATAAGGGGGAGGTCGCAAAATTGACCTGACCTTAGGTCATCGATATCAAAATTCTGAGATATACATTTTGTACATGCTATTGCTCTTAGCAATCGCTGAAAGTTTCAAAGCGATCGGTCACTCGGTGTAGCTATGACAGACATTGAAAGTTTTTATGAGGTGAGGTCACTTCAAGTGACCTGGTGACCTGACCTTGAATGACCTTGGTCTGAAATTTTCACAACATGTGTAGAATTGATGTATGATAAGGTGTACCAAAAACGGCGGCGCTCCGCGCCGCCGTTTTTGAGATATTCGCGAAAAACCACAAGGGGGGGTGTTCAAACACCCCCCCCCCCCCCAGCAGGGCGCGGGTTAATCTGAACCCTAACTGTCCTCCACTATACCCTTCTCTGTCCCCCCTCCCACGCTCCACCTGTTTCGTCTCGCCCGGCCCGTCTCACCCCAGCTCACCTGCCCGTCTCACCCCAGCTCACCTGCCCGTCTCACCCCAGCTCACCTGCCCGTCTCACCCCAGCTCACCTGCCCGTCTCACCCCAGCTCACCAGCCCGTCTCACCCCAGCTCACCTGCCCGTCTCACCCCAGCTCACCTGCCCGTCTCACCCCAGCTCACCTGCCCGTCTCACCCCAGCTCACCTGCCCGTCTCACCCCTGCTCACCTGCCCGTCTCACCCCAGCTCACCTGCCCGTCTCACCCCAGCTCACCTGCCCGTCTCACCCCAGCTCACCTGCCACGACGGTGGTGATGAGCGTGGTTGTAGCCGGTGAGATGGCCGGTCGGCGTGCGGCCAGCTTGGACCACAGCAGACCGTCAGAGACCATCTGTTCCAGCGTGTTGGCCGAGAGCACCAGCATACTGAGGATGCTGCGGGGAGGCGCGGGTGGATCAGTAGATGAGAGTATGTAATATACATATAATGAGCAAACCGAGGAGTGCTGTGGGAGCCGGGTGGATCAAGTGGGCTAAGCTGGTCGAGTGTAAGGCATTATTCTTATGCACACTGACCATGTCGTGGAATAAAAGACTTCCGGGGCTGTGCATTGTGCGATCTGCATACTGTGCAAATATTGGCTTTTATCAATTAATGAATTGTTCCATTATTCGCCTGTTATGTTATGTTCGCCTGTTAACACCTACCTTTACTGTCCTCAAGAGCCTTAGGGCTGTGACTTTTATAGTCTTTTAAGAGACTACTTTTACCATCTTAGACGTCAGCAGGACAGGGATGTGTTTTGTTGAGGCTTCTTACCCGGCTGTAGAGGCGACGATGGCGCCGAGACAGTTGACGTTGGCCACCCACTGATAGTTGTGCTCGGTTACATTCTTCATGTACGAGGCCACTGGAGTGAAGCGCTCCTGGAACGCCGACACAACCCGGCGTGAGTCGAATGGTTGTCCCTCAGCAGCAAAATACGTCAGTTGGTGGTCGGTCAGTATCCAATTGACTAGCATTGGTTGGTCGGTACTCGGTATCCTATTGGTCAGTATTCGTATCATTGTGTGACACTTACTATCCGAGTCATTCGACATCCTTATTAATCATGATCAGCGTTTGTAATTTGTATCCAACTACGAGTATATGTTAGAGTATATGCTTGGTTACGGTTAAGATCATTTTAAGTGACTAGTATCAGCAATTGTCGACACTGAAATTCGCACGTTGAAATGTAGCTCGAGCAATTTATTATTTCTTTATGAGTAGGTTTTCATAAAAATACAAGGTGACGGTGACAATCGAACGTCGGTTGTATCTGTGGTCCGTGCATTGGTGTAGGAGTCTGTATTGTAGAGCTGCGCCATCGCTGCACCCACCAGCTTGTCGTAGGGCTCCAGCAGACTGACGCTGACCGTCTTCGAGATGGCGATGATGGCAACGAGGGTGGTCACCACCATACTGATGGCTGACGAGTGCTTGGCCCCGCGGTGCTGCGTAGCTGCCCGACGGCGCGGCAGGGGGGAGAATCATTCAGTGTGCAGATAAAGGCATGGCAGGTGATCCTGGCCAATGTGTCGACAGATAAACCCATCACTTTAGGACAAAGGGAGCCTTCGCTCAGGTGGCGGGACGATTCGAACGGGCGGATTTTATTTTCTGCTATTCTAGTCAAGGGTTAGCTAGACAGGCATAAGGTTGTGATCCCATAACTATGCCTAAATATTAAAGATACATAAACGTAGCTCGCACGTTAAGTGATAAAATATTTCTCTAGAGGATAGGCCAAATCCTCGTAGTCATCACTTACCCAATGTAGCCGTTGTAGCCAAGGTGAGGAAAACGTGCATGTAGATAGCGCTGGCTCGAAAAACACCTAGCGCCCCGAAATCTTCTGGGAAGAAAATGCTTCCATTGCCTCCGGGTGGGTTCCAGCTGTCGGTGGATCCTGCAAAGAGCAGTTCATCTCTTCAATATAGTCAGGGATTATGTTTTCAGAAACAAATTTTGATGATGTACAGTGTACACTCTAGCACAAAAAAAACGTCTCAGCTGTCGTTGTCTAATTTCTTCAAATTCTTATTTCTTCAAAGTTAGTTCCACTGTTTGAAGAAAACTGGTAACTCCGGAAGGGGATTAAATTCGAAACATGTCATGTCGCACACTAGCCGATGGTATGATGCAACAGAATGTTTCCCGAGTTCGTCTTTCAGTGGCTGCTGCGATGTTCGTGAGGCACTCACCCTCGGTGCTGTTGAAGATGATGGTGACGACGACGGTGACGAAGTTGACCAGCAACAGACCCTGGTTGATCTTGCACGCTACGCTGCTGTTGATTGCGCATACGACTGAAAATTGGATATAAATAGGCAATAGCCGAGACATGTCGAGAAACACGCCTTAGCCGTCAATAACAATTATAAGAGTTTCTTGAAAGAAAAATAAACCTAGCGAACATCATGCTTCCAATAAGAGATCAACTAAACTCTCGCTATTCTGGCAGCATGACTATCATCTGTCACCCTTTTTTTTACCCAACTGACCTCCTACTATGATGACCGCTGACATGGCGATGGGGTCGAAGAAGCTCCACAGCCGTATGTCTACCTCGCCGGCCAGTTGGCAGCAGTTGTTTAGTGAGGTGTTCAGACGTCCGTCAGTCAGAAAGTTGGAGTAGTAGGTGATGGCCTTCCCCATCACGGCGGTCCCTGAGAGAGGATGCGACGTCAGCTGGATATTTGACGAGTTAAGTCGCTGTCTGAGTGTTAGATCATAGGCGACAAGCACGAGTTTACGTTTACCGTAGCATGCATATAACATACCTACCCCTGTGACATAAATGAGCCTATAATTGGGGGCTAGCACATCACACGCAAGGAGTAAAGAACCGTGACGCATTTCAGTATATGCTACGAATATTTTAATGTTACGAGGCGCTGAACTTAATCCGCGCCCTGCTGGGGGGGGGGGGGGTGTTCGAACACCCCCCTTGTGGTTTTTCGCAAATACGCCGCCGTTTTTGGTAAACCTTATCATACATCAATTCTACACATGTTGTGAAAATTTCAGACCAAGGTCATTCAAGGTCAGGGCACCAGGTCACTTGAGTGACCTCACCTCATAAAAAGTTTCAATGTCTGTCATAGCTACACCGAGTGACCGATCGCTTTGAAGCTTTCAGCGATTGCTAAGAGCAACAGCATGTACAAAATGTATATCTCAGAATTTTGATATCGATGACCTAAGGTCAGGTCAATTTTGCGACCTCCCCATTATAAGTCAATGGGAGAAAATTGGAATGCGCCTCTTTTGGACGAAAGACATTATAAACACTCCCAAACACTGAATTACAAGTGGTTTAGACACACTGAACATGAAAATGGTGTCCGTGACCCCTGTTTATGCCCTGAGGTCATCTTAGGTCACGAATGGTATCTAACAGTTTTTCGCAAATAACTTTTGATAGAGGCATGCTAGAGCAATGAAAACGCCTTAGATGTGTTCAGCTCGACGATACGGATCGACTGATATGCAACATGACCCTTTCCGGTCAGGTCATGACCTTGACCTGAGGTCAAATTTTCAAGTTGACCTTTCAAGGTCAAGTTATAGTTCATTCGATGCGTCTTCACGAGAGGAACACGATGCCGGTAAAAGTAAGCTCGTACAAGGCTTGTCAAAAGTTATTGCAGAAAAACTGTTTCCGAAAAAATCAGCTATTTTTGCAGTTTTTGCCCCCTATAGGCAAAACCGTTGACGTTAGGTCAAATCTGAGAAAATTACTCAGAAAGGGCGTTAATAGGGCTATCGAATGCGCTTTTCCGCGGCGCTGTAGCTCTATTGGTTCCCGAGTTATGCGTTGGCTTCTTGGAAATTGTCGACATTCGACCTGGAAATCGGCGAAATTTTGCCTTCAATGACCTCTGGTGACCTGACCTTTGACCTGACCAAAAAATTGACCGAAGTGATTTCCTCATTATTTTTGACGCTCTTTCGAACGCCGCCTTCCGCGTATCGCTACGTGGCCCAGGAGCCGAGTTAGAAGGGGGGGGGGTGTTCAAACACCCCCCCCCCCCCAGCAGGGCGTGGAAATCCAGGACCCCCAGCCGGGCACGGGTTAATATAATTTCTGTTATTTGACATGCCCATCATCATGAATAACATGAGTTCCAAACCACCAAACGTACCGACTGTGCACTCTCCGACGACCGCCCATCCGACGAAGAAGGCCGGCAACTCTCCCAGGTAGGTGTAGCAGAAGCTGTATGGCGAGCCGGTGACCCGAGTCCTCTGTGTTAGCTCCACGTACGCCACGCCTGAAGAGGCACAAAGAGAGTGGAGAATCAGCAAGGGGCAGAGATCAGCACGGGCAGGGGAGATTAGCACGAGTATATAGGGAGATCAGCACGAGTATAGGGAGATCAGCACGGGTACGGAAGATCAGAACGGATAGACGGGTCAGCTTGGATCAGATCTCATATGTAAGTACATTCGTTAGACCTGCATCCATGAGGAAGCTACGCCTGTCTGTTACCAAGAGATTTTCTGTGCGATCTATACTTCAATGCTGTTCCGCAATACTCGGATACTGTTCCGCAAGGCACGATGCTTTCGTCGCCTTTCTGGTGAATGAATGGTGAATGGTGATACCTATACAAAGCACAACAATCCAGTGATCGTAGCTATGCGCTTCTGCAGTGTGAGGGTCACAACAGTGAGCGTATTTACAAGCCTTCAGCGTCCCAGCACAGCACAGCATAGGATACTGTGCCGCAGCGCATGGATGCTGTGCCGCAATGCACGGCTTTATGTACAAGGCGATCAGCGCAGTCATCAGTCACCCACCTGCTCGTTCAGCATGCGACATGTTGATTTTATTTTAACGATATTTACTTCCATGAGACACTCAAAACAATGTTAAATTCAAAATTAGGAAGCTGTCATTGTATTCCCAGTAAATGATGTTCATTGTCCCTAGTGCCTACATCTTTGTAAAATGTCCCATGTTCTTTGTTAAAAATGTTCATTTGAAATTAGTTGATATTTTTTTCAAGCGATTTTAATCCCATTCGTCTTTCAAATCGGTACGCCTGAACGCAGAAAATAGAACGACTCAATCTGTCATTAAATAGACGGACCAAAATATGGTTGCTTATCTCACTGAGCTGTTTTCGCTTCCGATGACCATAGAACGGCTCTTGTCCAATGTGGAGGGAGATTACCAATGAAGGCCGTCTGCCTACTAGCTATCTATTGTCGACCACTCTGCTAACAGGTGTGAGAGGCCGGGTGACTCAGCTATCAGCGAAAAACACGCAGGGAACGCCACTTTATCGTGCGGAAAGTCGGCGGCGTGTAGATAAGAAGACGGTGAACGGTAGGTGGCTGTGTTTTCACACATAGGAGTGTCTATGTTTTTATTTTTACTCATTCATTGTCAATTCATAGCTGTGATTGCTTTCAGCGCGTCCCTGAACAGGAGGAATATAACTATTGTTCCTTTTTAGCTTTGTAGGTATCAAAAATATGACCTTAAGTAATGGGAGCAATGGCATGTTTGAGCATCATTAATAATATTGTTGTGTTGAGAAATAACCTTATGCTTATGATATGTTATGATTAACCCTCGCCGGCCGAGGGGGCCGGGGCGCCCCTGCCCATAGGATTTATTTCGCGATAGCTCCTATTCACGCCAGAGATACAGAGCTGAAGCTTGGTATAGGTACATACCTGACTTTCGGCTCAAGCCGGATCATTTGTGACACCAACCGCATTTTCAGGTCAAGTCACGTCACTGACCTATGACGTCATAAGTGAACTTCTGCATGGTCCTCATATGTCGCAACTTTGCAACGCCCTCAGTGCCAGAGAAACTTTCACAGAGAGATGAAACTTACAAGACTTAGTTCTAGAGGTCTAGAGTTCTCACAACTTGTATAGGTATCTAGGATTTTTTCCTAAAGGTCACATGAGGTCAGGTCGGTCACGTGACCTCACCATTATTTGTAGGTAAGCCGACAGGTAAATATTGAAGATGTCATTTTATATGAAGATGTTATTAAGGTCCGATGCTTCACTTATGCATTATTGACCTTGCGTAACGACATTTAGGACGTCACTGGGGTCATAACCGTTTTTCGCTAATACCTCCCGATTAAATTGAGCTAGAGAGTCGGGAAAGCCACCAATGGACTCTTGAAGACCTGCTGAATCGCATGATATGCGACATGACCTCCTTCGACCAATTTCGTGAATTGAGGGGATCTGACCTGACCGTGATCCGAGGTCAACACCTAAAGTTGACCTCAACCAAATAAAAATATTCGACGCGTCTGAGCTAGGCGAACACAACGATGCCAACATCGTGGCTCTGCGGCCATTTTTGCGAATTGGTATTTTGTACATGCTGCTGCTCTTATCAATCGCTAAGAGTTTCAAAGCGATCGGTCACTCGGTGTAGCTACGGCAGACATTGAGACTATTTAGGTATGAGGTAAGGTCACTTAAAGGTAGTGTGCCAGCTTTCTTGGACCGTATGGAGTTATTGGCCCAGATAAGGAGAACCGGATTTTTAGAACTTATCCATACCTTCAAAACTCATGGAAACGTCTTAAATTCTTCAAATTTTGAGTACCCCAGTGCGAAATTCGCCCCGACGGGTTGTCGGTCGTACCCCAACCACATTTCACACCACTATGAACAATAAATGCACACACTGAAATCGCTATTACCGATATGCTCATCCAATCAAGTTTCGATAAACCCGTTCATCATCATCTCCTGCGGTTTCGAACACGCCTGTTAGGTGGCTTCTGATGCTCGTCGAGGTCGGAATTTCCAAATACGCGTGGTGCGTCGGGCCGCGCGCTCTGACTTCGGCCAAGAAAAATGCGTCAGCTGATCATTGTCATTTCTGCCACTTGCGTGTGGTGAAATGGGGTCATAACTTATAAGACGGCTTTTTCATATCAATTATTTTACATAAAATCATTTTTCAAACCATAAATAATGTTCGACAGCCAAATAAAAGAAACAATACCAATACGGGCTTACAGTTTAAGGCTCGACATTGTGTTGTCTACGATTAGACAGCTGATAACTCATTCCCGTACGTCGTATGGTCGTAACACTATAATGACCTTTGCTTATTGTCACAAGTGCGCCGCATTCGCGATTGTTGCCTGACGCCTGTTTGCAGGTGAGCCCACTACAGTTGTTATACATATCTAAAAACCGAGAAACTTTTAGGCGAAAAAGGCACTATTCCAGGCCCATTTTTGATTTTTTTTGCGATATTAGGTAAAAACAGAAGCTTCTTATCCTAGGAAAAATAAAATGGGAAATCTTTCAAAGGTGGCACACTACCTTTAACCCGGCAGGCAGTGGGCCTCCCGGCCACCTTCCGCGCGGTGGGGGGGGGGGCATTTTTTGCCCCCCCCCCGTATCTCCGAAACTACTGGACGAATCCGGAAAATTCAAACGGCGTTCGATAGCCCTGTCAAATTTGTCGAAAGAAATCAAATTTCATTGACCTCAGGGTCACTGATGACGTCACAGGTCAGGTCAAAGATAAAATGTTTCACCGTTCACGGGGCTTCTAGGGAAAGCGCTATAACACCGAGTAAAACGCATTTTGTCGAAAATCAGCGATAGGGCGTCAGTTGTCTATTACATATGTTGCTATTAGAGGTCACTGGTCATACCAGGTCAGGTCACAGGTCAGGTCACCAAAGGTCACCAAGGGTCACCACAAGAGACCAAGTTTACTAAGGTTGTGCGATGCATGTTTTATGGCCAGTTTTTCATTTCCAACTCAATGGTGTTGGTTAAAAGACCATCAGGTACGGTTTAAGTCACTTTCTGGTGGAGGTCAGGTCAAGGTCAGGTCAAAAAAGGTCAAACTTTAAAGTTGATATTTTGCATAAAATGGGTATTGATTTGATGCAGCTCGTCACGGGGAGTCTAATGGTGGTCTTTGTTTTGCGGTGCGAGGTCTAGAATTGCTAAAAATTGAGTTTGAAAATTTGACGTCATCAATTTTGAAGTTTTTTTTTCGCTATAACTTGGCCAAAAAAAGAGGTATTGATCTCAAATTTGATATGTCGATAGAAGGCAGTAGGAACTATCACATATATTCCGGTTTTTTTAAAATTAAAAAAGAAAAGCTTTTTGGATTTTTCGGCTATTATATTTAAAAAAAAGTTGAATAAAATCTGAATCTGAATTCCGGGCGCTTAAAGGTAAAAAAATACATTTTATATGACAAATATGACATATTTCAGCAGAGCCAGAGACGAAGAGAAGCAGAGACAGATAAATCTTTCAAAAATTGTCTAGACAATGTTATGTCTGAAATTGGCAGGTTCTTTGATGATCAAGTCCCAAATACAACTAAAAAAGAAAAGGAAAATGATGTTTCATTGCGCTTCACTGCGCATACCTACTGGTGAAAATAACGACATGGTCAAATGGCAGAAATGTCTACTAGACGTTGAATAGTTTGTTAATCGTCACTTAGTTCGCTTATTATACATTAAACCGCGAGTAAGTACCTAGAACTTACTCGCGCTTTATAGCCTTTCCGCGTTAACTTATAGCCTGTCCCGCAGCTCAGTTGGTAGAGCATTGGACTCCCGGTAGTGAGAGCCCGGGTTCGAGACGCTCCGGCGCTCGATATTTGAGACTCCTGACGGGGATGGTCTGCGGTTGGTGGGAGCATCCGCAGCCAGTTGAAGTCAGTTGAGTGGGACAGGCCGTGTCCGGCTTTGAAGGGCACGTTAAACTTTGGCATCTAAACTCTCCCGTTACCCGGAATTGCGCGATCGGACGGTAGGGGTCGGGGTCTACGCAACAAGCTCCGCTTAGCGTGGGCTCTGGCTCTGTCAATCCGTCCATTCAAACATTCTAGCTAAATTTATAAAAAAGAACAAATCTTAGTTTTTTTCTACCTACGAGCGGTTTGATAATTTTATCCCGTACCGACGATATCTTTCGGGCGCCTAAAGGTAAAAAATACATTTACATATTTACATATATAAAAATCAAAACGTCTGTACGTATGTATGTATGTATGTATGTATGTATGTAACGCGTCAGTCACGCTTTAAGGGCTATTGCTCCGGAACGGTGCGGGCTACGGGGGTGAAATTTTCGACGCAAGTCGGACGCGTGCATCTGTTTGTCGTATTAAATTTCGGTGGGGGTGCGCTCAGCGGTTTGCACGTGGCGGGCGCATCTTTGCGGGATTTTGGGCCGCGGCCGGCGCCGAGCAGAGAGCACGCGCCTTAGGCTCAGTTTCTTCGCTTTCAAAACTGAG